ACACACACACACACACACAATCGAGCAACCCGGTGCCCAGGGCCAGCACCATTGCGCGGCAAGCGGTCAACAGCTGCAAGCTCAGACCTGGTATTGCTACATGCGAAGACTTCAGCCGGCCAAGCTTTCCATCAAGGTCTTCAGAAGGTCCCTCAAGGTCAGGAACCAGACCCCGAGCATTCCCCGTCGTCTAAGATAATCCTCCATGCTTGCGAGAACCAGCCGGCAAAGTGGCCCCGCCCGAGGGCTGGCATCCGATGCCAGATGCCAAGCAAACAAGCTTCGCAACATCAACTGCGGTTGGTTCTGAGGCCCTGCCAGCGATGACCGCACTCTGTCTGAGTCTCAGAGTCTCGTGTGTCGTATTACTCTTGAGTTCATCCTGCTAGCACCATGACAGCAAGCGTAGAAGGCGCAGCAATCGTAGCGGTAATCTTCCGTCACAGTCCTGATATGCTTGCGGCACGCAAAGACGTAGTGTGCACGTAATGTTGAGCAAAAACTACCTCCAACTTGTTGTGACTGCTACTGGCAACGAATGTCCAGACTCACTGCTGTTCATGTATTGGAGCTCATGCGAAGCACTGGGTGAGAAGGGCGGTGCCGCGAGAAGAAGTATCCTCCTTCGAAGCTTCAGGTCCCAGCGAGGTCGCTCCAACATCCCTTTGAATGCCGTGGCGTCAGCTGCCCAGAGGGTCTGCCATTACTTCAGAGATTGGGCGGCTCTTTATCCGACTTAGCTCGTATCGCAAGATGGATCCCGTCCCCGACTGCTTCTGCGTGGGTGGGCTCGCGGTCACGCGAGGGCAGTTCGAACAGTCACATCTAGGTAGAGAGCAGTATAAGTCATAATGTTGCACAAAGACATTATGGCCGTAGATATTGTTTACCACTCTTGCATTATGCAGTGCTCCCGAACGGCCACAGATGTTGGGTGGCCATGTGCACGGGAGACACTTGCATAGGCCTGTCTATGAGTACCATGGGAAGAGGCTTTCCCAACTTAGCTGCACGTATCGGCATGGCACCCACAGGCTTTGCAAATTGGCCTGAGGCTTCACGCTGACTCAACCTTCAAGTCAGCCACCAAGCATCGCCGGCCAGTAGAAGGGCTGACGCGTGAGTTGCATGAACCCCGTGACGCATCCTCAAAGTGCAGGTTGACAGTCGCAAGACTACTATGAAGCCTACCTATTCCCCCACTTTTCCCTCGACCCTACCCCCCCAAAGCCTTGCTGCGGAGTGCTGCCAAGGCTGGACGTTTCGAGGTTTACCTCAGAGGAGGCCAAGGAAAGGCCAGGAACCGTTATGACAAGCCAGCGGACATGCTTTTGCTCGGTTGAACTGGGGGTTTCAAGAGCGGTTCGGGATTTTGAAGGAGTTTTGGGGGCTCAGGTAAGAGCCTGCGAATCTCCCTAAACCCCATACAGAATTTCGACGGTGCTTCCAGCTTTCCCTCCAGGCATATTGGAGACTGCGGCGATCCGCCAGAGGCATGCCACGCGATATCAGAAGTTGCAGCTATAGCAGTCTCTGTGGAACAAGCCCGAGAATCCTCCGTATTGGAACTGTAGTTATTGAGGATCGTAGAGTGTTTCGGGAGCACAATATCAGCCCGAAATCCTGGGGATGGGTAGTCTGATCCTGAATCCTGAGTGCTTCTTTGAAGGTTGCTTCAGGTTCCGGCACGATGCAGGTGTGGAGGATGTTCGGGATGTTCGTGAGTCAAAAGGTCTGGGGGTTGCCGTTGTGGGTTTGAGGTTGGGAGTTGAGATTTCTGCTGTTTCCGCCCCTCAGATATCCCGAGGTGGAAATTCTCTCGAGCGGCGAGGAGAATGGAGTCCTAGCTGCCAGGTCTGGCCGCGCTTGTGCATTTTGCCTTTGGGGTTTCGGTGATCTCAGTTCTGGAGCGCTTCTTCCAGTACGCATCAATGAAGCTTCCGCCACCTGCGACTCCTATGCAACCTCAAGCTCTCAAGCACTGAGTGTTTCGAAGTTGCAGAGCGAAGCGAAACGAAAGGCCAAGATCCACCACCGAAAAGCCTCCTTCTGCCTCAGGGGAACCATCCGGGTTCGCTACAGTGCGAAGCGAATCTTCGAAAGCCTCTGTGACCCAGAGGTGGGCTCTCTCTCTCTCCCTCTCTCTGTCTCTTGTTGCTTACGTACCTCAGCTGGAGCCTCTTCGTTTGCAAGCATGCGCATGGACCATCGCCCCTCTCTTTCGAGTGTGTGGCTGGCTGTTACCTCAGCTCTGGAGCTCGGGAATGAAGCTGCAAGCTCCTTAGCTTGGAATCCGGAAGACCCTTCCCTAGCCGAAACCCGGAACTTCAGGAAGAAGGGACAGAATGCAACGGGGAAAACACAGACAGCACCCCTGGAACCAGGAGAACAAGAGGATCTTCGATAATTGCGCCTCGGTGAATCTCCGAAGGCTAGTTCAGGAGGACGAGGCCGGCTTCCTGTGTCAGTAGTCCCACTACTATCATATCCTGCGACAGTAATTTCACAGGGTCACTATAGCACGACTATAGTACCAGTTCAGTGGGCTCGGTGTTGTTCTAGCTGCTTCCTGGCATGCCGAATGTTGGTTACTATCCTCACGCCCCAAATCCTGCGGGTGTCGCCTTGCTCCCTCAGGTTCACTGCCGTTTGTGCAACGAAAGTTTAACGAAAGTACACTGGGACAGTTCAGAGCTTCTCGTCCTAGGTGCCGACCCCCTGGCTGAGCGCTTTAGGAACCCAGCTCGGCTCTAAATTCCTACAATCTTTCAGTCTTGGTAGGAGCCGTGAAACCTGGGAGGAGTCCAAGACGCGAACCTTCGAGGTCAGCAAAACGGGCCGCTGGACCTTGCTAGGCGCGGGGGATAACGGTGAACTTTTCGGGTTGGCTTGGGGAATTCCGGGTTTTCTGGGACAAAGACCCTTTGACCAGCTTTCCAATCTTCCGAAAGGTGGGAGCCAGTTCTTGCCGTGGCCGGACTTGTTGTGTTCGTGTTTCTAGGGTTTACGCCTTGTCTCTAGGGTTCAATGCAAGGAATTTCGAGGCTATGCTAGCATCGGCGAGTTTGGGGATTTAGGCGAGTGTTTCATTTGGTCCAGGAGAAGCTGCAGTGTTCTATGTACCCAAAGGAGGATTAGATACATACTTCTGCATTGCCCACAATGAAGAGCTCTCGTGAGAGGCATTTGGGCTCTTCTCAAGGTCAGAGAGTCGACCTTAAAAAGAGTCGAAGCTTCGGATTGGGATCCTCTGCTTTGAGGTCCGAAGCCGTGAAGATCTCCACCTGAACTGAAGTTTCGGAAAATCGGATTCCCCGTGAAACAATGCCAAAACACAACATTGGCCAGGAATCCCCATCAACTTCGAGTCCACCGTGCTTGCCAAGGAGGCGCCGGTGGAAGTTGGTGGCCTTGTTGTAGGATAAAGGTACCGATGCTAGGAACGGGAAGTCGGGACACATGAGGTGGTTATGTGCTCCAGTGGCATGGGAAGTCGATGTCCTAAACGCCGAACCTCAAAAATCCTGCGTGCAATGCCACGGCGAACGTCGGTGCTCGGATGAGAGATGCCAAACACATCTTGAGCAATGCTTGGAATAGGTATGAATAGGTGGAGGATATAGTCTCACGCGCGCAAGGTACACACCTGCCGGTTCACCCGCGCACATACATGGAGCTATAAATAGTCGCAGTGCGCTATAGCACTGTGAGAGCATGACAGAACTGACAAGCTAAGATAAATGCTTGAGTCGCCTGCAGCAGTATACCCAGGTTCAAACACTATCGCATAGTGTATCAATATCTGCTTGCTTGCAATGCAACATGTTATGTTCTACAATGCAGCGTATATGCTGCCGTGGCGCACGCACACCCGGGAAAACTATGCACAGCAAGATATGTACTCTGTAGTCTAGCCCATGCAGACAGCTGTATTTCATGTCTACTGGCCATACTGACTTCCCGTAGTGCCGTCTGCCCTTGCCGATGCTGGGATTCCAAAGCCATTTGTACACGAAACAAGGCCCCATATCCATAGTCTAGAGAAGCATTGACAGCACACAAGGACTGGAAGAAGTACGAGATCAGCTTCAAGCTGAAGAAGCAGGGTGCGATGAAGCACATGTCAGGCGCACTGCACTGTGTTAATCCAGGTTTTGCGGTCACGGCTCTTCTCGGGTGATTGTCGGAAATCGATTTTTCTTGATTTGTGCTTTGATGGTATAGGTGTCAGCAATTAGGGGTTGGGTTTCGATCTGGGTGTAGAGCTGTGAGTTGGCACTACTAGTCGTCATTCTGTCCACCCTTGTCCGGGCAGCTTTGAAGCACCTTTCCGCTTAAGATCCCAGATTTTTAGAAGGCTCGTTGCCGATTGATCATTGGCACCACACGTGATGTTCAGTATGTCATTCACGAAATTCCTGGCTTGCTGGTGTTTAGCAATTCTGTCTGTGCCGATGCTTCTTCGATACGCCAGCCCTGTCCCATAAGACTGAGCATGTAGTGCTCTGTACACATACGGTATACATACATACATACATACATACATACATACATACATACATACATATATATATATATGTGTGTGCATACATATATATATATATACACACACACAAATAAATATGCATGGGTGCATACGTACGTAGATACGTATGTATGCACGTACATGAACGATGACACACAGAGAGCTTTCTCTTTCTCCCTATGTAATCCTGCGTATACGTTCATATGTACGCATTTGCACATATACAGACATACATATATATATATATACATGCACATGATTAGGTATATATACCCACACACATCAACATGTACTTGTGGACGTCGCCCTCTGTCCCGATGGATGAGCACACATGCAGGCTGACATGCTCATACGCATGCATATGTGTATGCAGGTGCCCAAATCGGTACACTCCTGTTTCTGCTTCATGTCCGATGTGTGGATCTGGTGTGCTTGCATGCATTCTGGCACAGTTGCTTGCCTGTCTCGTTTGTTTCTGCCTTTTTGTCCTTGTATGTCTGCGTGTACGTGCGTACGTACGTGCGTATACGTTCGTATGTACGTACGTACATATGTAAGTACGTACATCGGTACGGACGTAGTTTCTGCATGCATGCATGCATGTAGGTAGGTATGTAGGTATATGTAGGTATGTAATGTAATGTAATGTAATGTAATGTAATGTAATGTAATGTAATGTAATGTAATGTAATGTAATGTACTGTACTGTAGTGTAGTGTAGTGTAGTGTAGTGTAGTGTAGTGTAGTGTAGTGTATGTATGTATGTATGCATGCATGCATGCATGCATGTATGTATGTATGTATGTATGTATGCATATATGCATGTATTTATATATGTATGTATATAATGTATGTATATATGTATGTATGTATGTACGTATGTATGTATGTATGTATGTATGTATGTATGTATGTATGTGTGCGCATGGATGTATGTTTGTATGTATGTATGTGTGTGTATGTATGTATGTATGTATGTATGTATGTATGTATGTATGTATGTATGTATGTATGTACACAGGTACGTATGTCTGGTATAAGCGAATACGTATGTATGTGTGTATATAAAAATGTTCATATATATATATATAGGCACTTCTATTGTATAGTACACCCCGAAACCCTGTGTGAACTGATAATGCCCCTATACTATGCAATACGCACGTTCAGTGGCTGAGGTTAGGCCGTGCCTGGTGCAGATGGGAAGACTTTCAGTTGGAGTTTAGGCAGTTGGGTTTGGCTATTTCTTCACTGGCTTAAGGTTTTCTTACGGGTGTGGTGAAGGTTCTGTTTTTTCAGCTTGCACACGGCTTTTTAAGTGTTATAGGGGCCTTCTGATTCAAAGGGTTGCTCCCTGTTCAAGTCTACCTGTGTCGTGCTTCGCGGGCTTTCAGGACATGCTTTGCCGAGGGCTGAGGTGTGCGAGCATAACAAGCACGAAGCGATGTGCTCACACGACATTCCCTTGTAATAGTGCTCAGCGTTCCAGCTGCAGGAAGAGCGATCAGCCTTCAAAGAGCGGACCATTACTGCGATTCTGCAGCAATTCCCTCGACGAAAGGCGGGGCTACCTTGAATTGAAAGTTGATTTGGAGTCTCGGGTCAGGGATTTAGCCCACTACTTGACGCATCCTACATAAAGCTTGCGCATCCTAAGTCCGAAACCCTAAGCCACATAATCCAAGAAGTTAACAAGCGACAGCACCGAGAGCTTCACGGGCAAAAGTTGTTTGGGGTTCCGGTCGAGGCTCCAGAAAGACAAAACTGATAGCTGACCCGAGACGCCCGAGACTTTAACCCGCCCCGCCTCCCCCCCCTCCGGTGCCCCAATCTAGTACTACACATGGGGTCTAGCCGTTGAGCTGAAAACGTTCAAGCATGGATCCAGTCCGAAAGCCCCAACCCCACCTTGGACGATAAATCTGTAAAGCCCTCACACCCTATAGGCTCTAAGGCCCGGAAGTTTCTAATCATAGGGGGGTTTAGGGTTTAGGGGTTTAGGGTTCAGGGGTTTAGGCGGTTTAGGGTTCAGGGATTAGGCTCTAAACCCGAAGCCCTGAATATGACTAGCTTTATCCTTTCCACTCTGGCTCGTCAGGTTGTACTCGTGGGTGACAGTGGTGAGCGAGACCCGTCCATCTGCGCGGAGCTTCTGAGGAGGACAGGTTCTTAAAGGGTCCTGAGTCGATTCTTCTGGAGTCGTCGGAGGTGTCCTTTGGTTAGGGTGTAGGGTTTAGAGCTTAGGGCTTTAATGGGGTGATATCGAGTCTTTAAGATTGCTGTGTGTGTTTATTTCAACTGGTCTTCGGACTGAAACGGGCCACTGACTTAAATCCTGGCGAGGAACCTCCAGCCCTACACCCAGAAAATTAGGGTTTAGGGTTTAGGGTTTAGGGTTTAGGGTTTAGGGTTTAGGGTTGTGGGGCCTGTCTAGGCATTCAACTACATCCAGGAACCTAAAACCCCGAACCCTAAACGGTTTGAGACGCAGTAAGACTTGCATGGCGTTCGAACGTCCGGGGTCAGGTAATATAGGGGCCTCAATAGTTAGAATGGGGTTTGGGGTATTTTATACTATAATTATCATAAGGAACCCCCAAAATCCTATTCTAATTATTAAGGCCCTCACATTAGAGTGATGACGAGGCTTGCTTTGCCAATTCCAGGTTCGAGGCCACACCCATCAGTTTAGAGTTTAGCGCCATCGTGCATGGTGTTTTTCTGTCGGTCCATATAGGAGTTCCGCCTCCCTTGGAGGCCAAGCTTGATGCATAAGGTCCGGGAGTGATACTGTTGATGGACAAAATTCTGCATGACCCCAATATAGTATAGTACCATAAATCCCATAGTTCAGGTATATAAGGTCATGCAGGATTTTGTCCACCAACCGTAGGACAAAGCTAAACCCAAACCCTAAACCCCAAACCGCAGCATTGGCCACAGACAACGGGAGCTACAAAGAAACAACAACTTCCCTGTAGGTCTACCTGTAGTCTCCATGGTAGTTTCTTTTCTGGTTGACCAACTTTTTGGTTTGGATCCTATAATATTTTTTAATATAAAAGTGGTTAACAAAATAAAGGAACTGAATGGAGACTATAGGTTATAAGGGTATCTGTTTTAGGGGTTCATGTCGGATCCTCGAGGACCTAGTAGGGGTTCCTGTAAAGGGCCGGTGTACCTGGCAGCCCCGGACCCTTCTTTTGACGTTTCCATGTTGACGGCAGACAAAATTTCATCTGATGTTACATTACTTGCAAGTATCATGCTAGTTATCTAGTTAGATACCATTTTTGTATATGCTTATGACTTGTATAACAGATCATGTATTCTATTATATTTTGCGATGCGGACTAAGCGGGTTTCGGTTTTGCAGGCGAGTCTAGTGAGTGGCTAGCTGGGGGAAAGGGTTCAGGGTCTAGGGTTTAGGGTTTAAGCCCTAAAACCCTAAACCCTAAACCCTAAACCCTAAAGCCCTAAACCCTAAACCGTTCAGCCTTTCCTCCCTCATACTGTTCCCTCGCCGAGCTGGAGGCACCCGGTGCAAGTCTCCAAAGTGCTCATTCGACAGGTATCGGGCCGGTAGTCGAGGGGTCTGCGTCATGAGGACTACTGTACGCCTTGGGGCTCTTCCTTTTTTATAGGTTTGCTATAATGTGCCGCAACACTCCGTTCTAACAAGTAAGGCCCCTAAAGTACCAGGTTTTCGCGCTGAGGCTTGCGAATCGAGGATTGGAGTTTTGTGGATGCTACCATACCTGGACCCTCCACCCCTCAACCCTGAACCCCTAACCCCTGAACCGCCTTAACCTGAACCCTCCTGCGACCCTAGGGTGAGGGGACCCCGCCACCCCAAGCGCTGCGATGGCCGTCGTCTTAAGAGAAAACAAGACCTCCCAAAAGCGGCTGAAACCACAACCACAAAGCCTTTAACCGCAAAGCCCTACCAGGACCCCCCAATTACCCTCTCATCGTCTTCATTAAGTGAGAGTTAGGGGCTACAGTAAACAAACCCAAAGTTTCACCCCCTCGGTACGGATGTATTTCGACTTTCGTTGTTGTTGACCCCCTTACCCTAAACCCTAAACCCCAAACCCTAAACCCTAAACCCTAAACCCTTATCCTGGAGGGTCCAAGTGCCCACATGGCAGGGTTTGAGGGCACGGAAGACCATTCAGAGTGTAGTGTTTCTGACTTGCTACCCCAAACCCCCCTAAACCCTAAAGACTAAGGTTTAGGGTTTAGGATTTAGGGTTTAGGGTTTAGGGCTAAACCCTGCAACAGGTAACGATTGTTGAATCTATGCACTTGCACCATCGGGGTTGCGACCAGCTGGTATTCTCGTGCTCAGGTGAGCCCCAAAGCACCGGTGGACGAGGACAGCAGCATTCTGAAATCGCCTCCAAAAGGCCTCTACATGTCAGATTTGTAGCATAGTGACATGCCCTTATGATTTTAGTTCAGTAGCATGCACAACTCGAGTTGGCAGCGATCAGTCAAGGCAAAACTCATCCCGAAATGGAATTTAGCAACATGGCTTGACGTTTCGGCCATCGGTGCACTCGAATCTACAGTCGGAACCCTAAACCTCAAAATCCCAAGCCTTGAACCACGACGCCCAATCCCGAAAACCTCAACAACCTGAACACTCTCTAACCGCTTGCCTGAACTTTAAGTACTGTTGTTTCGCTGCCGCAGCAGGAGATATTTGCCGGCATTCCGTCCCATCGGTGGCAGGCGCATGACGACCTGTCCACGGTTAGTTTAGCGCTATCGAAAACTTGGTTCCTAAGGCCCAAAACCCTGCACCTTGAGGTTTCGGGCGTCAGGGTTGAGTTCAGTGCGTAGGGTTGTGGATTCGGCGGAAAGATGGGTAAGGATGGCGGGGGTTGGGGTGTTGGGCCAGGAGTTGGCTGAGTTGGGCTTCCGCGGTGAGCCCGAAACCCCAAACCCTAAAGCCATCTAAAGCCTAAAGCCTAAGGGGCCCTAGATCCCAAACCCTAAACCCTAAACCCTGAACCCGAATCCGGGGTGAGCTGTCAAAAACAATATGCTTCGGCTCAAAGCTCTGCACAAGGTTGGTAAGGTGAGGCTGGGATGTTTGAGCATAGGGTTTAGGGTTTCACCAAGCCCGAAGGCTTAAATCTCGAGGACTTAATGTAGGGGCCCGGATATTCTTCCGTACTAGTCGGCAGATTGCCTTCCTGCTATTTTGGTGTAATGTACCCCTGAACCATGTACTAATGTTCAAGGCCTCTGTATTACTTCCCAGATTGGAGAACCCCTAAACCCTAAACCCTAAACCCAAAACGTTCGTTTCTCACGGGCTGACGGCTTCGTAGGGCCAGATCTACCCGCCGCAACCTAAGCAGAAACCGGAGCTCCAACCACGTAATTCCAAAGACATCTGGCACATGTCGACATTTGTTCCTTTCAAGCCTGACTGATATATTTTTCGAGTCTACATTTTGGACAAAATCGACCCCTGGATTGCGAAGGAGCCCAAGCCAAACCGAACCTCCGGAAACAGCCGGCCTCGGCGCCAGGTGTTCGCAGATCCGGCAGAAGCGACCCTGCCGGACGAGCTCAGGGATCTCGCGTCTGTGTGGCCCCCTCGGATTGCCTAGGTGGCAGGGTCAGGATTTTGGCGACTTGCCTGTTAAGGGGCGCTGGGCCTCTTTCAAGCCGAGCGCGGGTAACATTCCATGTTGGGAGGTCTTCAACATCGTGTGGTCCACTGTTGAACTTCTTTGTATGTTGACAATGATCTTCACGACGGTCGTAGGCGTCATGATTTACGATGTATTTTGCTATGAACTTATGATCACTTTCAGCTTGTAGACCGCGAGTCACCATGATAACACCCGTCGGCATAGTGAGCAGGATCGGCACAACGATTGTGGCACTCGCATTTCACTTTAGATAGTCCTGCACCCGAAGCCCCAAACGCTGTATGTCCTGAAAATCGTGTTGGAAAACAAGCAGACGCACGAAAGTAAAGGGTACCTAACCGGATACTTGTATACAGCACAACCAGTTTTGACAGAAGAACAACAACAGCGACAAAACATGCACGACGAAGAGTTAAACAGTAAAAGTACAATGATGATTTACTGTATATGCATCTACACCTAGGTCTACTCATAAACAAACCGCAGCTGCAATAACAGGTGTGCATACTGCTCCTTTGCGAAAGGTTGCGCCACCTCGAAGCAAAGACTTGTCTCCACGAAGCCTTTTCTGCTGTAGATTCCTGCTTCAATCATGAGGCACATGGGCTCATGAAATTATTTGATGGCATCTGTAGCGGAAGCCACATGCGCACCCTAGCTCCCGAAAGCTCAACGGATGTCCCACCCAAGAACATCTCGCATCAAATGACTGTCCTGCCGAGGGAGAATACGAACAAGTAAACCGCCTTAAACCAACAACCCTAAACCCTAAGCCTAAACCAAAAACCGATTTCACAACTGCTTTCAATTGCATCAACACCCTGAGACAGTGAGGCCCGGCCTCCTTAGCTACGCCAAGAGCATTGGCTCCAAGGCCATCGTCGTGTCGGGGTGGGCTTGGTATTTACCCTTCAGGGTTTAGGCAGGGATGTCACCCTAAACCCTAAACCCTAAACCCTAAACCCTAAACCCTAAACCCTAAGGTAGGCTTTATGGGGCTGAGGACCTAGGACTTAGGGCCTGGCACGGAGGTACTTTGTCTGAAAAATGGGCTTTGAAGTCACGCGCTGCCAGCAAAAGTCAAGAGACTGCTCGGGTTTGGGTTTAGGGTTTAGGGTTTAGGGTTTAGGGTTTAGGGTTTAGGGTGAAGCCAGGATTTGCAGGCAGGAAAGCATGGGCTTCGAACCCATGCTGCCAGCAAAAGGTCAAGACAGCGCAGACATGCCTCTGAGAATGACATGCAGGAGGTAGGAGTAGTAGTGGTGGTGGCAGTAGCAGCAGCACTAGCATGAGGACTATAGCATTGTAATTGTGCGAGTACGAATATCACTTCGAAGAAAAACCTCAACCCAAAAAACTAAAATTCCTCCACCCATAGGCGAAACAGGCTTTCGAGCTTGGGCTTCAGGGCCATGATTCCTTTGCAAGCCCATTTGGGGCCTGTTCTGTAATGGTGTTTATTTTCATGCTGGCATGCGTGTTGAAAACAGCACCGCCAAGGGAATCCTGATCTTGAATGGCCGCTTGCAAGGCTCTCCCCAAGCCCTGAAGCCCCTCAACTTTCCGAATTTTAAATAACTTCGTCAGAGTGTCGGCTGCCTAGCTTGCAAATGCTCTCGTCCTGGTGTCTAGGAGCCGAACCCACGATCGATCAACAGCAACCGCTTAGGAGGGCTTAGGGTTTAGGGAAGGCTTGAGGGTTCGACGCTTCCTTCGCAGCCTGTGGCTTTATTAGAATGCAATCGGCAGAGTAGCCGTACTGGAATCTACGGCATCTGCGTGTGTTCCTTCTGGGAAAGACTTATCAGTGTATGGCACACACGCTAAGAATTCATGTCGTGGTCTGATCAAGGCTAACTACGCAGACGAGACTTGACACGGCGAGTTTGGGGTTTAAGCTTCGATTTCCTACTCCGAATTTTCTGCGTTTCGACATCAACGCTGGGCAGGCCAAATCCAAGAAACCTACCACTTTGTCGTTCTGCCCATTGCATCGCTCAATAACCCTGCTCCCGGAACCTCTCAACACCAAGCTCCTCACGTCTCGCTCCAAAGCGAAAAGCCCACTGCACACGCACACGCGCAGACGCACACGCACACGCACATGCACACGCACACGCACAGGCACGCACAGACACGCACTTACTTACTTTACTTACATTGATAACTTTACTTACTCTACTCTACTCTACTTTACTCAACTTATACTTTAGTTTACATTACTTTACTTTTACACGTTTGACCCGCTTTAGCAGACAATCAGATTGTGACGCTTTAGCAGACACTCAGACAGAAAACGCACAGGCACAGACATTGAAGCCTCTTGGTGCTACATCCCTACAAGTGGTCACACGATGGTCAGTTACCGCAGGGGTTTTCGAAAGCCAGGTTTATGTGAAATGGGCTCTTAACCCACACCTGCCAGCAAAAGTCAAGAAAGTGCAGATATGCTTGTGAAAATGCTTTTCAGGGACCATGTAGCCTTGAAGCTCCGGGCATCGCACGTTTTCTCTACACAGTTACTACGACGACGACTACTACTGCGACGACGACTACAGCTACCAGCACTACTATTATTCAGGTCTAAACCCTAAACCCTAAAACCCTAAACCCTAAACCCTAAAACCCTAAACCCTAAACCCTAAACCAGCACTACTATTATTCAGGCGTTGCAGGAAGCTGCCACCACGGTTCTGCCCGAGAGCGCTGAGGACGACGAGACCATGCGGCAGGAGGACCACGGCGGATTAGGGATTCGGGATTAGGTTTGAGATTTAAGGACCCTTTTTTCGATTTGGATGTTGGGTTATGGGTTTGGGGATAGTTTGAGATTCAGGTTTAGTGTAAATATTCGGGTTCCGAGTTGAGGGTCTTTGGGTTGGGCCTGGAGTTCGACGCTCAGGGTTCGTGGCCTTTCAACTTGAAGCCAGGCGGGGGATCGGACGCAAACTGCAAGCTCAGACCCCTAAACCCTAAACCCGACACCCTGAACCCTAAACCCTAAACCCTAAAACCCTAGACAGACTCAGGGTGTGGGGGGTTGCGCTTTGTGTTTGCAGGTTCTGAGTTTTGGGGTCGAAGAGTTGCTTGAAGGGCCCACTGATAACTTAGGAAGAAATCATAAGTAGCATGGCGTGGGTTCTAGGGTTTTTCTTGCGTTTTGGAGGGCTTCGGAGTGGGTCTTGCTTGGAGGATTCGGTTTAGGGTTTAGAGCTTAGGGAGTTTAGGGTTCAGGGAGTGTGAGGTCCCTACACCCTAAACCCTAAACCCTAAACCCTAAACCCTGGGGTTTCGGGTGCAGGATTTTGAGCCTGAGGTTTAGGGTTTAGGGTTGAGGGTTTAGGGTTGAGGGTTCAGGGTTTAGGGTTTAGGGTTAGGGTTTAGGGTTACCATTGAGGCTTCACCCTGACAGCCACGCCAAAGCTCGAACCCCATTATGGGAGCGCCTGTAAGGCCAAAACTTCGGTTTTATGTGGGTCAAAGCGAATGAAGGTATACGCTTCAGGAGCGGATAATTAGGCAGGGGGTTTAGGGTTTAGGGTTTAAGCTATTGCAGAATCTCCGGTTCGAAATGCGAGAGACACAACCCCTTGCCCAAGAGCTCGCGATGTTGAAAGGCTTCGTGTTTGGAGTTGATCCTTGGGCTACCGTAAGCCTTAAGCCAATGCCTAGACTCCCGAACCTTTAAAGCAAAGCAAGCTAGTAGTAGTGAGCTTCCGTGCCATGGAGCAGTTTCGCAGTAGTTTCGCTGGACGCAGGATAATATCGAAATACTGCAGGCTCATAAACGTTCGCCCTAGTCCGGTGTGACGGACACGCTCCTCGTCCGAGACGTGTCAGGGTCGTGCGACCAAGCGACAACAGCTGCAGTCTCAGATGTCCAGGTGGGCAGCAGCACTGGATTGCATTCCCCTGCCTGATGATGCTGTCGACCGACCAGCTGCAGAACGTGTTGCCAATCCTGGAACAGGCTCAGGAACCAGACGTATCAGCCGGGGACGGCCGTATATACTCGCACAGCTATACCCCAAACCCCGGGTCTAGGATTTAGGGAACCCGGGCACCCTAAACCAAAGCCATAGTCGAAGCCCTAGCCCTAACACTTCCAGTCGCCTTCGCCAAGCTTCTTGCAACTGAAGTCCTAACCCAAATTCCGAACACCCTCAGAGTCCATCCAGATACTATGTACTTTGGCCGGCCCCGAAGTACCTAGGGACTACTTTCAGACCAAAGTATAGTTATACTCAGTGAGTCATGGACCCCAAGGAACGGAGAGCATGCGAAACGCGTACATAGTTATCAATAGCTCTACCTCATGGACTAGGGTTTAGGGTTTAGGGTTTAGGCTTTAGGGTTTAGGGGTTTAGGGTTTAGGGTTTAGGGTGGTATGTTTGGAGTGGCGCCCCGGGTTGGCTGCTTGTCCGAGGATCCGAGACAGCTCTCCGCCACCTGAGCGGATCAGACCTTTCCCACAGACTTTCAGGACTCGGGGGTTTAGGGCCTCTAAGGGGTTTAGGGGTTTAGGGTTTAGCGTTTAGGGGGTGGGCTAGGGGTGGGTTCCTCAGCTGAAAAGATCAAGAGTTGCTGATTAGTCTCAGTGCAGAATCGTACAGATTGCCAACCGCCTATTCCATAGGATCCTAAACCCTTAGCTCAACATCTTCAAGCCCAGGATCGAAATCCTAAAGTCCCTGTACCCAAAACCCCAAACTCAATTCCTGCAGTCTTTAAACCCTAAACTCCTAAACCCTAAACCCTAAACCCTCGGTTCTTTTTAACCTTAAACCCTAAACCCCTAAACCCTAAACCCTAAACCCTCGGTTTTTTAAACCTTAAACCCTAAACTCCTAAACCCTAAAGCCTAAACCCTCGGTTTCTGGGTGGAACCGTGTCGACTCGGAAGATGCTTTGGGTCAAAGACACGGCCTATGCCGCACGCCGGCAGTCTCACCTGAACCCGGGTTCGGCGGTGCAACTACCTAGGGCTGAGTAGGTAACCTTCAACCTTTTGGGGCTTATATAGTCCTACTAGAATTCAAAAGGTTAGCCTTTTTTGGGCGAGGGGACTCAGCCCCTAAGACTAATTGCACCCAAATAGGGAGTTCTCTAAATTAGGGTTCCTTTTAGGGTCCCAGAATAATAGGTGCCGTATTATAATAAGGACCCAAAAAGGGACCATAATTTTGACAACCACCCAAATGGAACCCGTGAAGGAGCGCTGAACCAGGGCTTACTGCAGGGTTTATGCTGCAATGCTAGGGGCCTGAATAACAGAGTTCTAGGTTCATTGTGGTAGAGTTATGCAGGGACGACAAGGGAGTAGTATCAGGCGTACAGCTAGCTTAGCGTCCAGCGCTTAGGACGTAGGGCAGGTCCTCATCACAAGGGCTGTGCGGGGTTTGATGGTGTTTATAAATGCAATTCTTTCTTCAGATGTTTTCAGATTGGGGGTAGGATCCAACTGCTCAGGGCTGTTTAGGGTCTACAACAGGTTGCCATATTTGCCTGAAACTCTCTTATGAATTTCGGGTTTTGAGGGTTCGAGGGGCTTGGCAATCCCCAAATGTCGAATACAGACCGGTCCAGTATGGTCTAGTGTTGCGTGTTCGTCCTGACTACACGTATACAAAAATGTCTACAGAATTAAAAGTGTAAACAAACTTGTAAAGATACCGATAACAAGGTGGATATAACAGATTCCCGGAAATATAAACATAGGCCTAAGCATAAATGTAAACATACACGTAGAAGCATCCATACATACGTACATACATACAGACATACATTGAAAAAAACATACATACGTGAATACATGCGTGCATGCATACAGACAGACAGAGACAGAGAGACAGAGAGACAGACAGACAGACAGACAGACAGACAGAGAGGCAGGCAGGCAGGCAGGCAAGCAGACGGACAGACAGACGGACAGAGACAGAGAGAGAGACAGAGGAGTGGAGTGGAGT